CCCCAAAACCCCAAAACCCCGCCTGCTAAAATTTATTAAGAAATAATAACAAATTATGAATTATTAATAATATATTAATTATGTAGCAGTCAAGGAAAAAATTTTTGTCTGAACAAATATAATAATAGCATCATCATAAATTTTCTGCTAATAGCTCTTAATCTTAATTAATCAAAATGGATCATAGTGACATTAATCCAGATATTGTGAGCGAAATTGATTAGAATCAATAGTAAAATTCAAATAAAACGAGGGAAAGATTAGACTCAATCCCTCAATAGGAGCATTAGTAATAATCGATGAATATTATCAATAATTAGAACATTGCAAACAGTATGCCTGAAATCCAGCGCCAAAATATGAAGCCAAACTATAAATAGCTAGGAAATAATTAAGAAAATTACTAAGCAAAGCAGCTGTTTGAACTATCTTATAGATAAAATAATTACTAGATGGAAATGAATCATATGAGTGGCCTTTAAGATAACTTTAGATGAATGATTAGAAAAAACTTGATTTCTCCATCCCCTTAGCAGATACATAATTAACAACCTCATCATCAACAATCTCGCATTAAGAATAATCTTTTCTAAGAAGAAGATAGCAACTGGAATATGTACCATGTTTAGAATCCAATTTTTCAGACGGAGGTCATCAATCCACATTCTAATCCACACTAACAACTTTAAAACGATGAGTTTTCTATGTAAAATCATCATCACCATCATCATCCCAATTAAATGCCTAGCCCTTTTTACAATTAGAAAATCTTTAGCACTTACCGCTCAAATCATCAAAGTCATAACAATCTTCAATAAGAATAGCTTAACTACAGAGAAATTCACCCAATGTTTTTTGTCAGTAGAGAGTAGCCGCATTAGATGCAAGCCACTCAGAATTTGACAGAAAATATGGAGGGTAGAATGTAAGACTTAATGTCAGAGGAAGAAAACTTCATCAACGTTAACCAAATGGTCAAAAGTGAATCAACCAATCATTTATCGCTTGCTGATAAGACTATGAAAATGCGAATGATGTATCAACGTAATTAAGAATCTATTAACGAAGTTGGATACTAGGGGATATAGCCAATGATGAGTGATTTTTCAGAGTTGAATAATAATAGCAATAATAATCAAGCAGCAAATGGAAATAAGAATAGAAGATAATAAAAATAAAAACGTAAAGCATGCACTGAAAAAAGAGGTCTTCTTACTTTTTATCTCTCAAGTTTAACTGAAAAGGAGCTAGTTAAGAATACATTAACAGGATTCGTGATAGATCAGGTCCTAATTAGAGGACCAATGACGTTCGATTAGATAGAGAAAATTGTTGAAGAGAAATTTTAGGAGTTAAGAAAACCTAATGGTAGAAAATATGACTAGGACAAGATATAAAAATGCATTATGAGCACTCTCACAGCTAACGGCTTATTTGAATAAATAGAAAAAGCTGGAAAGAGAAAGAGAGCTGAGTAAGACTACTAGAAATATTGGAAAGTTAAGGAATAAGAAGCGTTCGAATACCTTAGGCTTGAAGAATAAAAGTTTGTAAATTTATATTAGTTAATCATTTCAATTAAAGAGCAACATAAAATTCAAGCTGAATCAAAGAATTAGAAAGTTTAAGATTAATGAGAGTATTATTAAGTCTAAACTTCCGTAGATTAGTGAATAGCTTGGACAACCATATATTCAAGATAATCATCCATTTAGGGATAGCTAGTTAATGACTCATCATCGTCAAGATTAACTATATGTCCCTTAATAGCAGTAAATCCAATAAAATGAATTTTATTCTAGCTACCATAATCAAAATAGTAATTAGAATCGACATAATAACGACTAATAATATAATTCAATGAGTATGAAAGAGATGAGAGATATGAGAAAATCACTAATTAGTAACCTAGACAATTATCATGTAGGATTATTTATCAAATATTTATCTATATAGGATACTTTTGATAAGCTTTCTGAAATGTGTCAAAATATGAATTCTAATCTTCCTCAGCCAGAGCAAATGTTCTAAGATTTCCTTAAAAAAACAATTTAATAGCAGGTACCAGAATCTCTTGCTAATTAATAAGAAGATATGAATGAAGGAATATCTAATACTTAATAATTTAAGGGATTTATGGAGATATATGAATACTTTAGGCCAATTAGTAAGTCTCAATATCAATTAAATATTTTTATTAGTTGAGTAATACCTCACAGATATGTATGATACTAATGAATATTAATCTGAAGATGATGCAGACAATGAGGATAGATCACCAATTGCCAAATCTCACTCTTGAATCAAATTAAACTCATGACCATAGATAAGTCTAGATAGTAGAATTTGGATTTAACTGAAAATGAAATTTTAATAATTTATTTAATTTCATGAATAAAATTTATTATAGCTTATTTAATTATTTTTAACTATCATCATCAAGGGGTTTTGGGGTTTTGGGGTTTTGGGG